ATGTCCAATTGGACAATCCTCCTTGATGCAGGAAATCTGGAAGTAGAGCGCCTCAGTCTTTGATTGAAGCACTCCTAGTTCAGTGGTTAAAAAAACACCCTTGATTTCCCAGAGTCCCTTTCTAAGCAAAATATGTCATTCCTTTGATCCTTTTGTCCTGAAGGCCTGGACTAATTTAAGGTAGCTTGTTATTTCCTGGCCAATATCCTATCAATCTTAGGACTTTATCACATGAAGAAGGCAAACTGTAATTGCAGCTAGAACATCACTAGTCCCTATTATACAATGCTATCTACATCCCATTACTGGTCTGCTTCTTCCCACGATATTCCCATCCCTAGCTACTGATGGGAAAAGGAAGCCAATAGCTGACAATTCCATAATGTTCCACTTATCATGATGTGTTGAGGGAGAGGGCGGAGGAAAAAACAACATTAATGAAGTCAGCAATTTCTGATGACATGTGGTGAGTAATGAATAACGGAACGTAGTGATTTACAATGCTTCTAGACTAAACGCCACAATTACATGACACTACACCCCACTCCCAAATGGGATAAGGTCCTACAATTCTTCTAATTTCACCATCTCTCTTCTCCTACTTGTTCTTTCCATCCTGGCTGTTCAAATCATAGATGTGTACAATTGCAATAATAATAATAATAATAATAATAATAATAATAATAATAATAATAATAATAATCAGGGTTATCAGGTTGTGTTGAAGTACAACTGCAGGGCTACCAAATGACAAATTAATGCAATAGTACTAATGAAGAGAAGTGTGCTTTTGAATGTGCTCAACCCTGTACGTATCCATTATCGACACCACTGTGACTGCAACAGAATGGTACACTGGTTTGATCAAGTCCTTGGACTACAATCCTGACTGTTCACCAGTCATGCCACTTTCATGGCTTTATTGACAGTTAACCTTCAGAGACAAGTTGCCAAAACTGGACCTGAGGATTTCCTCACACATTTTGTCAATTGTTACTACTTCTCTGACCTTAGTGGAAAGCTGTCTTACTATTTACATCTTCTTCCACTTAAACACATCAGGGAACAGGGCATTTCTGTTGCCTTTTTTATCAGCCATAGCTTAGTTGGAATTTCTGCTACAATGCTCTCAATATTATCAATAGAAATCTGGATTATTCATCTAAACGGGTCATCTGCTTGGTAACATATCTCTTTCGTGTGTCTTTTAAAAAAAATCAAGTTTCTTGCCACCCCTGCTTTTTCAATAGATTTTTTACATGGCTCCCATATTTTTTCTCAGCAGAACTGTTTCTGATTGTTTTTTTAATAACTTTCTTTAGATTTTGAAATGGTTTTGAAATGGGTAACTTTGAGATGTGATAGGAGTTTTCAAATCTGCAGTTTTATACAGGACATTGAGATAAAAATGGACAAAAATACCTGCCTTGAACTTTAATAATAGTGATAACAGCAAAAATCACCCAGCAACAGCAAAAACCAATAATAACAGAAGGATTGTCTGGATTAGATCATAGGCTCATATAATTTTTCTTTCTACAGTGATCAACAAGTTGTTTCTAAGAAGTGGGGAAAAAGAGGTAAAATCCCTCCCCATTGTTATATTCTAATAGTTGACATTTAGCGCCATAGAGTCATCATGGCCTGTAGATACCAGCTCACAAGCATTAAATCCAATATTAGGCCCAAATAGTGTAGAGCCATTGGATCAATGAAACTCAACTAGGCACCTAGGCACTGACAGTGGGTTTTAATGCAATATTATTGAAATGACTATGCTCCCTTCAATGTATGTGATTTATACATAAACTGGCATATGAAAAAAAGGCTTTCACTGGGTAAAGTTCAGAAAATATGAATCTATATATCTAAGTTCTTTGGGCTATCCATTGAAGTTGGATGTCTAACTCTTCTTAGCTGTCTATCAAAATCCCATTGACTTTTGTTGAGGACTCTACTCCTTTTATTAAGGCACATCAGTCTCTCTAACTAAAGACATATTGAAGGCTCTTGAGCCCATAGGATTCTATCTTTATTGATTTTGCTTGGTTTATAGTATGTTTAAATACAGATAGAAGTCAAACTGCAATGTCCCACTGTTATCTGTGTGTCCTTGGTGGATTCAGTCAGTGTCATTATGAAGGATCTATACATTTGGGTTGCCCAATGAATTAATATCCATTCATGTGTCTGTATTTACATGTTCAGATTTCAATAACTTTCAGCAGGTTGGCAAAAATTTAACACGCTTTATCTTTCCCTTTCCATCTCTACTCTAATGTAGAAACCAACTGTTTGGTTCAAACTTTCAAAACTGCTGTGAAAACTGTCGAGGGAGATAAACTATCTTTAAATCAGAAAATAACTTCTTTCTTGCTGTCGTATCAAACAGGGCCACATAGTGTGGTTCTATAGAAACTACGTGGGATGAACAGCTAATGAGCCGACACTGATGTGTGAGACTGCAAGCTAGGAGACCCAAGTTAGATAAAAATATATTGAAATATAAAATAAATCTATACCTCCAGGGAAGAAACCAAGTTATGTGGGTCACGGAAGACTTGGTAAATAGATCCAGGTGTAGTAATGCAGAAAAGAACTTCAGTATCAATTATAAAACTAATTAGGATCCTACACTGTGTATTGGTAGATCTTGTCTGTGAACAAGGACATTTTTGTATTACCCCTCCTTATCAGGATCATTGTAACCTAATGAGTTGATGCGTAGTTTAAAAGATAAAGAGAAATTGATCTAACCTTTGTGACTGTACTGGCTGATCAGTTACTGAGACATGTTCAAGGTGTTTCATTTGGTTTAAAGGGCCCCAAACACCTTGGTATTAGGTTATTTGAGAGAGTGTCTTTCTCATATAGACCACCAGAGATATTTATATTTGGAGATGTTAAGTTTATTTTTCATGCCAAAACTAACAAGGATAATGTAATCAGAGGAATACCTCTTTTGCTGCAGCACCCACTGTATGGAATGAAGTTCCTCTTGATATCAGCTGGCCTTCCAATAGAGAGAAAATCCTTGTTCTACCTCTGAGGATGCTTGCCATAGATGCAGGCGAAACGTCAGAAGATAATGCCTCTAGACCATGGCCATACAGCCCGAAAAAACCTACAACAACCCAATCCTTATTCATGTTTTCACATTTCCAATGTGCATTAGATACATCTTTATAGACCATCTCTCTGGCGTTGTTCATCAACACATATATAACTATAAATATAATCTCCATAAAGTCTAAACTTAACTTTCAAAACATTTATTTTAAAAGTCTGCAATACCATAAAAGCATCAGATCCATCTGACATTGGAAGCTGGACAAAGTTAGCTGTGGAATATATAAAATTGCTATATTGTTGGCTTTTGGAATTCTGAATAGGGCATTTTTTGAGAGGGATTTTAAAGTTATTTCTCCTTCATTTTTTTAAGATTTTTTTGTTTGAAAGACATAGATCAGATTAGAATGTGTTTTGCTGCCAATTCGTCCAGGGGTTTTTGAGTTCTGTTAATCCCACAAACGAACATTAAATTTTTATTTATATCGATGGTCTTGATTCAATATAGCTCTGATATCTATATCTATATTTACATTCTTTCCATCTATGACATAAATATGAATAAAATGGTGAAATGCCTAACATTATTCAATGGAAACTTTCAGGAACCCATCACTTTCATTATTTCTATCTAGTAAATCAACATATTTCAGTTTTACAGTTAGCTAGTAAAACATCATGATCATATAACTGGTTCATAGATTGTGGACTGTTTGCTCGAATTTGTGTTCTAAATGAAGTTAGTCTTGACTAGAGCAAACCAGTGAATTGACTTGGGGTGCATCTACACTGAAGAATGAATGCAGTTTGATACCATTAGGAGTTGTAGTTTTGTGAGGCATCAGTAATCTTTGGCAGAGAAGACGAAAGGTTTTGAAAAACCACAACCCACACAATCACAACTCTAATGATTCCATAACTTTGAGCCATGGTAGTTAAGGTGTTTTCAAACTGATTCATTCTACAGTGTAGATACACTCTTGGTAGGTGAATACATATTCCATTGTTTTAATAGGTCTATTCATACTGGGATAAGCAATACACACACTCTCACACACCCCATTACACAAAGTCTTGTGTTCTTCTTCATTCTCATTCATAAATGAAAGTATCTGCTCTTCAAATAAAAGAATTCTGCTTCCTCGAGTAAAATAAAATGAAAAGAATAACTATGCCTATAACCAAAATGAACTTAATAAAAGTAGATGCTGAGAACATTCTCATATATCAGCCTTTTATTCGTCAGTAGGTCATTACAGGAACTCCAGCTGACACTTAATACACTGAAATATTTTCTCCCTCTCTTGAACGTGTTGACTTTGATCTGCAATTAACTGAGCAAAACACTTTAACTGATTCTGAATAGCAGCAATACTGGGACAGTTTATTCCCATTGTGAGATTGATGGTACAATGACCACGTGTTGACTTTGATCTTGAAGGTGAACTTAGAATCAAAGCAAAGCTCTTTCACCACCACAAATCCCACTAGTGTTAAAAATATCCTTCAGTTGAGTTGGCTAGGTTAATATCACAAGTAGTCTTTTCCATAGAAATGAAGATATGCTTTCTGCCTCCAGAGCTGCCAATCTAAGAGCTTCTTTCTCGGATTAAATTTAGCTAAATATAATTCAGCTAATTAAAAAAAAGAAACTGTGACAAGGGGTATACTTGTGAAATGAAATGCTTGGCTGCTCCTTTCATCACTTTTCAGTCATTTTGTGTTCTTCCCTGATGAGAGCCATTGTTGACGCTGCAGCTCATTGGCCTCCATGTGCTGGGAGCAGATAGAAGCGTGGCACTCTTGGCCTCTCCTGGTGGCAGTCAGATATGTACTCCTCTAGTCATTTCTTTTCTTGATAAGCTTCCTGTCTTATTCCAGAGGCTTTTCCTGTCACATTTTCTGTGTCAGATAGACACCTCCGGTTCAGTGAATTCAGTGAGTTTGAGAGCCAGGGTAGGAGAAAGAGAGAGAGAGAGCGCGCACACATTTCTCAGCCATTTACAAAGAGAACAAAGTAAGAATTTGTTTTGTGATTTCATATTTGCTTCTAAATCAATTGTGTTCTCATATTTTCATTTAAATGAGGCTCACACATTATTTATTTATTTATTTATTTGTTTATTTATTTACTGTATTTATACCCCGCTCTTCTCAACCCCGAAGGGGATCAGAGCGGCTTACAGGGTTTTGGGATGAGTGTAAGGTCTGTGGTATGTGTGTAAAATGCCATGTGATGATTTACTGAATGTTATGGAAAAAATTTAATACAAAGCTCTGACGGAAAGCAGTGGAAAACAGGCAGAAATAGCAAGTCTATGTGTATTAAGATATGTAAATGATAATAATTTGTACTTAATGACAAAATTAACTGATTGACTGAATAAGATAGATAGGCATGTACACGTCAAAAATATTGGTACCTGATTATATCTGCCATGATTTGCTTTTCTGTTATGTACCATAATCAAAATAAACAGTTTTTTTAAAAAGAGTGGCTTACAGATTATGGCAGCATTTGATGCCGCATCATACAACAAATAATAAATACAACATAACAAATTATAAAACAATTAAAACATATAAATGCAAGAAGTGCAAAACCAAGTAATAAATATAACATATCAAATTAAAAACATTTAAAACATATGAATGCAATAAAACATATTAAAAATAGTTTTAACAGAGCAGATGTTACATCAGGGTAAGAATGAGATGCCAAACCAGGGTGGCAGGTGAATCAAGGGCTATGGCTGGAAGAAAAAAATGTTGGTATCTCTGTGCTGACCCAAGGATGCTGAAATGGAGGCCAGTAAAGATAAAGCCCAGCAGCACCAGGCAGTCCCCAGAACCTGAGTGGGTCCCTAGAAGCTGAGCCAGAGGTAGCAAGGGAAATAAATGCTGCCCCTTCCCTCAAAGCCCCTGGTGATGGTACATTACCTGGCTATAAACCCAGTTTGCCCTTTCAACAGACACCTAGATATAAAACTGCAGCCCATCCTAACTTCCCTGATACATACCTTTGTATTCTATCTTGTGATTCCACATTTCCAATGGTCATATTCAAATATGATAGAGTGAACTTAAAAACACATGCAGTTGAATCACTAGAGATGGGTGCATTTGTGCTTCAGGAAGTGCATACCTCACCATCAGAGGGTTGACATCAATATTACTCTTCCAAGCTTTTTTTTTTTAAAAAAACCAACATTTGCAGTTGTTTAAGTTTTGAACCAAGTCTCTGTAGACCAGTGGTTCTCAACCTGTGAGTCCCCTGATGTTTTGGCTTTCAACTCCCAGAAATCCTAACAGCTGGTGAACTGGCTGAGATTTCTGAGTGTTGTAGGCCAAAATACCTGGGGATCCATAGGTTGTGAACCACTGCTGTACACAAAAGTTTAAATCCCCACTTGGTCATGAAAACCCACTTGGGCAAGTCATACCTCTTCAAACTTAGAAAGCCTTGCAATAGGGTCACCAAAATTGGAATCAAAGGTACACAAAAATAAAAATCCAATTTCAGACAAAAGCAAGATAACAAGAAGAATGGCAGCAGCAGCAGCAGCAACAACAATTTGAGACAAAAGCAAGATATAAATTAATCAAATCATATAAACTAACAAAAATGCATTGGATTAGGTGGGAGTTTTAATTGTCATGGCTCCATTCTATAGAATCCTGAGATTTGGAGTTTCCTAAATTATTCTCAACCACAGAGAATTCTTTAGAGAAATCTAATTTTTTCTCCAAGCTATAAATCCCACAATTCCATAGAATAAAACCATAGTACTTAAAGAGGTGTGAAACAACTGTGCACATGTATTTCCTTGTGTCCTTCCTACCCATTGGTTCACTGCACTGCACTGCACTCCACATTACTAGTTTCTAAAAGTAAAACAGGAAATACTCAAAATGTTTTAAATGCCATCTATCTATGACACTTGCCTTTTTCAACATAAAAAATCCACATTTTTGTTCTTCACAGTATTTTTAATCCTTTCATGCATGATTCAAAAGAAAATTGCTTCTATACACACAGTGATTACAGCACAGCAAACTGAATGGCTTTAGAGGTTTGTCTTCAGCACTAGATATTATTGATAGGAGAAGTCATTGAGGGCAATATTGGGCATTAAGATGTCAGAATGTGAAACCATAAGATAAACAGTCTCTGTTAAGCTGAGCACAGACAACCAAGTCAGGTATATTTGTGTACTACATACAATACAAGCTGATGGCTGGGATATAAACGCAGAGGACTAAACTGTAAAATGGAGGTGAGATTTTGTTTCCCTATGAGAATCGTATGGAAAAAATCCTCTACAATCCAAAAATTCCTTCACAGTTTGCAACGCAGCTATGTAATTGTATGTCCTTTCAAACACCCATTTCACTGAATCAGACACATAGAAAAATAGAGTTGGAGGAGACCATATGGGCCGTCTAGTCCAACCTCCTTTCCTTCTGCCATGCAGGAAATGCACAAACTACCTCTGTCAGTTGGCCATCCAGCCTCTGTTTAAAAGATTTCAGTAAAGGATCTTCCACCACACTCTGAGGCAGAGAGTTCCATAACTGAACAGCCCTTACAGCTAGGAAGTTCTTCCTAATATTCAAGGAGAATCTTCTTTCTTGTAATTTGAACCCATTGCTCCAAGTATTAGTTTCAAGGGCAGCAGAAAACAAGCCCACTCCCTCTTCCTTATGACACCTTTCACAAATTTATACATGACTATCATGTCTCCTTTCAACCGTCTCTTCTGCAGGCCAAACATACCCAGCTCTTTAGGATGCTCCTCATAGGACATGGTCTCCAGACCTTTGATCATTTTAGTTGCCCTCCTCTGGATGCCTTATAGCTTGTCAATATCTCTTTTAAATTGTGGAGTCCACAATTGGACACAGTATTCTGGGTGATGTCTAATCAAAGCAGAATAGAAATGTACTGTGACTTCCCTCGATCTAGACCAGGCATGGGCAAACTTTGGCCCTACCAGCTGTTAGGAATTGTGGGGGTTGAAGTCCAAAACACCTGGAGGGCCAACGTTTACCCATGCCTGATCTAGACACTATATTCCTTTTGATACAGCCCAAAATCCCATTTGCTTCTTTAGCTGCTGCATCACACTGTTGGCTCATGTTTAACTTGTTATCCATGAAAACTCCAAGATCTTTTTCACATGAATTGTTGTCCATGCATTTTGCTAGAAATTTTGATATACTTTTTTGAATCAAGAACTACACTAAGAGCAGCAGAATGAAATCCAAGAGTGCAAATTAGTCCATCCTGGAATTCTCAAAAAATCAAATTATTTACTGTGAGCGTGTCCTTTATCCATAAGTAATTGGACAGCATAAGCCTGGTCATCCATTCTGTTCGTTATTTACCACCAGCTACAGGACACAAAACTCAGACAGGTGTTTGAAACACTCCCGGTAGCTTATTTATTCAGACATGCCAATTAGGCAAATCCAATGGAGCCCCTTGTTCTCCTCTTATCTCTCCTCCTCCACTCTCCCCTCCCTCCTTCCAGTTGGCCACAGCTGTTTAGGAACCAGCTTTGATTCAGCATCCTTGGTTCTTTCATGCATTGTAATGAAACAT